CAGCCTGTGTCTTGTTCTGTCATTCTGTTAATGGTGTCTTTTGAAAACCAGGTACTATTAGTTTTTAACTTCTATTTATAATATATTTATGGACTGTGATTTTGGTGTCATATCTAAATCACTGGCTAACCATTGGTCACATTTGTTTTTCCTATGTCAATTTAGACTTCAGATCTAAATTTAAATTCACGCTTATGGTTCATTTTCTATTAACTTTTTAATGCAAGGCATATATTGATGTGGGTTTTTTTTGATTTTGAGGGTTTTTTTTTCACATATTTCCTCCAATATAATTTGCTTAAAATACTGTCCCTTTTCCACTGAATTGTCTTTGAACAACTTTTCAGAAATCTGTTGTTCATACGTGTGTGTGCATTTCTGGACGCTGTATTCTGTTCCGCTCATTTATTTGTCTGTGTTGTTGGCGACAGCATCCTGTCTTGATTATGGTACAGCATCCTGTCTTGATTATGGTAGCTTTAAAATATGGCTGGAAACCAGGTCAAGTGTGTTCTTCAACTTTATTCTTTTTTTTTCCAAAGTCATCACAACCAAGCTAGGTCCTTGTATCTCCAAAGGCATCTCAAATTCAACTTATCATTTTTGTACCCAAAATCCTACTGGGAATTTGACGGATACTTCACTGAATATATAGGTGGATCTGAAGATAATATCTTAACAATACTGACTCTTAACATTGTATATTTCTCAGGAATTTTTTTTCAGTTGACAATGTACAAGTCTTTGAAATCTTTTGTTAAATTTGGCCCTCCATATTCTGTATTTTTGATGCAATGGTCAAAGGTATTTTTTTATAAACTGCATTCTGGATTTGGTCTCGACAGCATGTAAGAAACACACTTGGTTTCTGTCTACTGATTACGTCTTAGGAAATACTTTCGATTGGATGCTGGACACTGTGCATTTGACCTTGTTGGACATTGAATATTTTTGGATTCCTATAGATACCACTGGAGTTTGTTCTCGGACACCCACTTAAATCATGCAGACACAGTTTGATTTTTTTTTTACCTCATGCTGTTAACATTTGTTAGACTGCACTAGAGTGGTTGTCAGGTAAAGGCTAATTATGCCTTAATGAGGCAGAACCCTTCTGGGCATCGTATCCAGTATCCCGTAACGAGGTTTTTCCAAGTTGGAGCAGAAACCGGTCCTGGTCCTGGGTGATCTCTGGGAAATATTCCTTCTCATCTTCTCTTCTGGTATTCCTCTTGGCTTCATTTTTTAAAAATGCACTGCAATATTTAGTAAAAATATAAAACGCAAAAAGTGAGGGGGAAAATGTCTTTTCTGAGATTCTTGAGACTTGAGTAGCTGCTTCCTCAGAGACAAGCACTGCTATTTCTTCAGCTGACAATGTGGGGGGACTCTCTGCAGACCCCCATTCTTCTCTCTGCGGTAAACCACCTCTTTTCTCGTTCTCTGTCCCAAGAACCCTACCTGCCTTGGTCTCCTGAGAGTCAGAGAAGCTTTCTGGGCTCTGCCTGGATTCTCTTTCCCCGGCTCATGGCTGGAAAACATTCTCAACACAATAAGCTTGGGACGTAGTCAGTGTCAAATGGCTTGTCTGGCATCTGTGCATGATCACTATTGTCTGTTTCCTGATACCCACTTCCTCGAAAGCTGTCTTTTCCTCCGTTCCAGAAGGCCCCTCATCTTGGTTCATTTTGGCCACTGACTGATGTCACATCTTGCCCCTTAACCTCTTACTTTTAATTTAAAACATGCTGGATTTCTACAGGAGTCCCATCTTTCCATGTATTGTTCTAAAGAGGATCTGGAAAGATTCATTTTTGTGTATTTTGAATGTGATTGTTTCATGACTTGTCTTAGGATTTTTTACGTTCCCGTTTTGCTTCACGTCTGATTGCATTTTAAGGTCTATGTTGCTGCTGGTCTCTTGCAATTCCCCAAAGGAAAGAAAAAACCAGCTCATCGGGTGTGAATTCTCTTTGAACGGGAAAAATCACTTTGGCATTTCCTAGCAACCTCCCCACCTCCCTTTCTCTCCAGATACACAATGAGCAAGAGCCGCCGTCTTTGGCATAGCACGTGCACTGCACTGAAATATCGAAGCTCTTAGCACCACCACTGAGGCTTAAAAGACCCACAGGCACTGTAAATGCGGTGCCAATGAGATGATCGCACACGATCCGTGCTGGGCTTCATATTAACTGCCTTTCTGCGACAAGGAGACAGCAGAGCCTCCATTTCCAGTGAAACCGTGTTCCAGTGACCCAATTCGGTGTGTGGGTTAGACTGTTACTTTTTCGGGTATGCATTCTCACTAGTCTCCTAGTTTCAATGGAAAAGAACCTTCATGTTGACGAGCTGTGAAATAATAATAATGCCATCACGCACGTTGCATTCAAAGGGATCCACATGGAAGACTTACGTATCCGCACAGCTAATTCAACCCCCAGAGCTGGGCCATCTTTTCCCATCCCCGGTAGGAATAGTTAGGGCGTAGGTTTACCAGAAGCCCGACACAATATTTTTGTAGCCATCCCGTGTTGTTTGATAGCCTTTAAAGGACTCATGCAAACATCCATGTGGGCTGTTTTTTTGAAAGCCAAGCCACTTAACAAAGTGAGCTTTTATCAAAGGATTAATTCGTTCATAGATGAAGAGTGTTTCTCTGCAGAAGGGCTTCACAGATGAGCGTTCTTTCTCTGTCGCAGCTGCCCTGGCCCCGTGGGGAGGGCGCCGGGGGACGGATTCACAGCCCAGGATGAGGACGGGCGGGAGTCCAGGGGAGTGGGAGCAGGCGGCCGGCCAGGCGTCAGGGAGGCTTCACCGCAGGCGCTCCTGCAGCGTGCAACTCATAACGCTTTCTAAAACAGTTGTGGAGAAAGGAGGCCGCTTCCTCTCCTTGCACACTATTTCATCTCCTTTGATTTCAGATCTGTTTGCATGGAATCGTGTGTTCAGTTAGCAAAGTGGTTTTCTCTGCCCTGTTATTTAATGAATCCAAAATTTATTCTTAAATAAAAGCATGTCAGTCCTAATTATTTGAGAGAATCTCTTGATTTAGGTTGACCTAAATCAGGTCAAGTGTGCAAAAAAAAAAAAAATCTAGAGAATAAAATGAAGGTCCAAATATGACCTGTAGGTACCCTGGAAGGCAAAATACACGTGAGTTTCATGGAACCTGCCTGATAAAATGATGCTTCGTATGTTATTTCTATATCGTAAAGAACGTCATTTGATGATACGTTTCGACTGCGGATTGCCGCTATACATCAGCCACCGTGGCGCAGGGTGAAACAATGTGCAGAGGCAACTTGAATTGAATGGAAACTTCCAAGGCATCTCTACTTCCTTGTGTTTCTTTCTTTGGCAATGTCAAGACTGTGCCGAGGAATGCTGGTTTGGAAATCAGATTACGAGCTATCAGCAACTCAGCTAGCCCTGGGCAAATGTATCTTTGATGCAACCTCCATCTCCTTGACTCTAAAAGGAGGAATGATGATAATATGGCACCCTGTTGATTTCTCAAAGACTATGAAATTATTTACCGTAGGAAGTAAATGCCTGGCACATAGTAAAAGGGTAATAGATATTAACTAGATCAACTTGGCTATTGAGGAAATACTGTTCCCTATTGTCACTCTGACTTTTTGGGCTGGGGTGACATTAAATACAATATCTAGAGAAGGATTTAGATATATAAGTGCATATATATTTTATATGACTGTATACATAAAAACTTATAAATACGTATATGTATTTGTGTGTATATATGTGTATAGATAGATAGATACTTAGATAGACAGATAGACAGACAGGTGACTCATGAACAACAGAGGTTTGAAATGCAGGAATCCACTTACACTCAGATTTTTTTCAATATATACCACAGTGGTACAGGATCCGTGGTTGGTTGAATCCACATATGTGGAACCATGGATTTAGAGAGCCCCCTGTGGGACTTGAACATCTCCTGATTTTGGCATTTGAGGGGAGGATTCTGGAACTAACCCTCCACCAATACCGAGGGATGACTGTGTACTTGAGATTGAATCTTCTAGACATGTAATTATTGAGGGAATCAAATATCATTTGGCAGTGTTTGGACTTGTTCATGCAGAATTCAGATCACGCACCTTGGATTTTGATTCCTTCTTTAATCTGCTTCTTTCGTGCTTCCTCTGCTGAGGATTTCATAAATCACGTGTTCCCATGAGCATCGCAGGGCATTCTGATTTCCAGCTATGTGGCGTCACAGAGAGTAGCTGGTAGGTGTGGTCCGTTTACCACCTGGGTAACAACCTTGAGTACAACCATCAGGACATGGTGGAAACATCCTGGACACCAAACCCAGGATTAACTTGGCCATTAAAAATGGTGATGTCAGGGAACAGAGGACAGCCCAGCATGCAACACTGAAGGGAAAGCAAGAATTACTCACATGACATGCACAACACGTCCCATTTTTGCGTGACTGTTTAAAGTTACAGGAAATGTAAGAAGATCCAACAACAGCTCCCTAAAAGTGGTTACTCTGTGCCTCATTCAAGGTGATTTTTATAGTATGTGTTGTTTTGTGTATTTTTGCCTAGTAACTTTTCTCCAGTAGCCATATGTGATCATTAGTGTAAAAATGTTCAATGCTTTGCATCCACAATTTAATATGATCCTAAAATATCCCAGTGACTCTGGCACAAAAGACAAGAGAGAGGAATGAAAAGTAGGGTAGGTGTTGGTGACAGGGGTCAGGAATATTTACATCTGGGTCATTGTCACAAAGACTCTTCCCCATCAGCTAAAAAGGCCTAAGAGAAGGCAGACATACAGAATACCCATGCCTTATGACCCAGCAGGGAGGATAAAATAATTCTCTTTAAAATATTGCCTTTGGGGAGGGTGTAGCTCAAGTGGTAGAGTGCATGCTTAGCGTGCAAGAGGTTCCAGGTTCAATCCCCAGTACCTCCTCCAAAGATAAATAAATTAATTTTAAAAAAAAAAACCTTTGAGGGGAGGGTATAGCTCAGTGGTAGAGTTCATGCCTGCCATGCACGAGGTCCTGGGTTCAATTCCCAGTTCCCTCCTTTAAATATAAATAAATAAACCTAATTACCTCCCCCTACAAAAATAAAATAAAATAAAATATTGCCTTTAAACTAATCCATAAGAAGTCATTCTGCATTTCTCTACAGTGGTTCACATATATTGTCAGTTTTACCAGTACTCGAAGTCGTATCAGTGATGTCGCTAAAAACTCGCCAGGCCTAAAAGGCTAAGATGAAGTGTCAGTGTCTTACCAGTAATTCACAAGTGTATGGTCTAGTTTAACAACCAAGCTACCGTTCCAAAAATGACAACAAAACAGCGGAGCTAGGATGGAAGACGTGGAGGAAGTGCCCTTGAAATGGGTCCGAATCAGTGCCGGGGCAGGGGGGGCGCTGTAAACAGAACAAAAATTACAAAGAGAGATTTTATAAATACGTTCTTGCATTTATTCAGAAAGTTGTCAGCGTGATGGATAATTACTGGAAAAAAAGACTTGACATCTGGTAAAGCAGTAATTTTAGCGTCGAGAGTATGGAAGTTTCCACTAAAATGGTGCACATTTACACTTCAGCGTCACTGAGTTTCTTCCCTGAGATCGTCCTGCGCCCTCCAATACAAAACAAAGCAAAAACATTAAAACTAAAACTCAAAGATACAGTCTTAGCTCAAGGAAGGCGTTTGCTTGTGAAGTACACGTCGGTCTGAAAATGAAAGAGGTATGTTCTCAACATTGTCAGTAAGAAGTTACAGTCTTCTTTTTCCAACTGCATGAACTGACTTGATACTTTTTAGCATTCAGTTGCATACCGACATGCGTTATGGGACTTCTGTACGTCCCCGGCCCAGGGGGCGACTTCACAATAAATGTGTGTATTACCTTTCTCAATTTATCTTTGTCGTCCTTACAAACAGCACTTCACAAAGCCATGACATTGCTGACCCAGGACAGGGGGTGGAAAAAAGGACAGAGGGACCGATGACCAAAGAAAAGGTGGAGAAGAGGGGAAAAAAAATACTCAGCCTCCAGAGACAATGTGGGTTTTGAGAGAAAGAGCGAAATGAGAGGGAGCAAAACAGAAAGGGAAGGGGAAAGAGATTTATTGGGATGCTGAGACAGTGGCATACGGCGCCACTGTTGCCTTGACATTGGACCAAGAGCAAGCCCATCGTTCCCACTGGTTGACAGAAAGCACACTTGGACCGGGTGCCCCTAGAAGGGAAATATGCGGATGGCAGGCATGCAAGTGACCTGGAGATATCCGTGTGCATCTGATGCCGAAATGCTTAGAGATACAGAATACTCAAGAGCAGACCCGCTCTGTAGTCCCCTGGACTCCCTCTGACCTCAGTGACCTGAGCACAGAAATACGTGTGCCTTCACTATGTGGGGGTCTTTAGAAGTTGCGAGGGGGTTGAGCCAAGAGGGCGGAGTAGAGAGACTCAGAGCTCACCCTCTCCCACAAA